CTGATAAATTACTCAAAAAAATACCTTCTCTTGTTTATGCAAAAAAACTTTTATTACTCTTCCATATTACTCTTCATCATATATACAGATAGCCTTTGATCAGTACTACATTTTTTGTTCCAACATCACACGTGAATTTTGAACTATGGATGGTGGAAACAATTTTCGATATTTCATTGCAACCTTCGTGTATTTTCTATTAGGTGATCGAATTAGACCAATAAAATAGCTATCGTGATAATAAGAGTGAAAATGATGACGAAAATTGATAAAGCAAAAATATACGAGAGGAATCGAGTAATATAATTTTTTTATCATATCGAAAGATTTTTTCTGATGAAACAACTTCTTGTTTGAGTACTACCGACAAATTCCATGTAAAAATCAAATTAGGCCAAAAAACATACATTGGATGACCGAATTAGATCATTAACAATACGAGTAAAAGTGTCAACTCAGCGTTTTTGTAATCTCTATTACTCATTTACAAATAATTAATTTTGAAAAGAAATATAGCAGAAATGTAGAATGTCGATAATTCTATCCCGGAAAAACAAAGATGAGCTCAAAGGGATATCGTGAAGCGAAGATATCAATATTTTTCTTAAAAAGCACTAGAATTAGTGATCGAATTATGACCAGGCCCTCTATATGGAAATACTTTATTAGAGATTACTGAAGAAAGTACTGATCATTTTTCTTTTGTGAGCGAATACATCAGTTCAAACTGATCAAAAATATTTTCCTATATTATTCATACTATCTTGTAAAGAAACTCAAGACACATTTTTCAAAAACATAGACAGTTTTACGACTTGAAATGATAATGAACATGTGATCAAGACACGAGCTCACTCGTGAGTGTTCATGCTAATGCAATAGATAAATGCGTTGTGTAGGAAGAAAAATGACAAGTATCATAGTGTTTTCTTTGTTTCCAAATAATTTCAGAACAATCATGGTTGTTTTTCCATTAGAAAAAAGAACACTCATTCTCGCCTAAACATCATATCTCACCTTGAGAGTTCTTGATTGTTAGGTGTTGAAAAGGAAAATGTCAAGAAGTAAACGGTACAAAATCAAAGTCGTAACTGATCACTGGTTCTCTCTTCATTCTCACATTTTCAAGAAAGCTTTCTCACGTTTGCTTGACTTTCTCCGATATACTGTTTGTCAAAGTCTAACATAACTGATGAGAAATTGACACGAAGCAGCTTCAACTCGGATTTCACCCGTAACCAACAGAAAAAGAAACAAATGAGAATGAGATGCACAAGTCTGGTATTACAGAGTTGAACCAGCATCATCTCTCTTTCCGAATTGACCTTTTTTATTCTTTACAATGATTCGTAGGATCAAAATTATTTGGTGTTCGCTAACAGATTATCAACATAATGCCTATGAGTCATACAGTCATGTTCTACCGAATTATTTCGAACAGAATCATAGACAATTAAAATATTATTAACCACTCAGCCTAAGAAGCAAGAGTTAATGAATAATCTACTTCTTGTGAAAGTAATTTTATTTAAACAGACCGTTGATTGATTTTTCTCACTAGCATGAAACTATATATCATGCTAAACAGTCGTTATGAATTAGCGATCATAATATCGAATTGAATACGTAACTAATTATATAATGATTTCTTCTTTTTTGATGTACCAAGTATTGCCTATCACTACGATATTAACTTGTGTACTTTTGTAAAATCTCAAATATACCAGAACATACAAATCGCGAATCCCAATCATCTCCAATGGAAAGTTCATCAGGTTGAAGAAGTGTTCAGTACAACTCGAGTTCAACATATGTTTCACCTTGTAAGTGAGCACTATCGAAATAAATTATTTGCGGTACGATCTTCTTTTCAAGCAAAAATCGTGTATCTGATATAGATGTGCTCGAAAAATGTATGATAGATATGATATTAGCAATGAATGATTCGTAAACGATTGGTCTACCATATTCAGTACACATCATGTTTCGCAAGTCATAATAAATCTAATACTCTAATCCATTAAGCCATGTATCAATGCAAAGTAAAATAATTGTTGACAACCGTCTATCATTACGAAGAATCAAACCTATATTTATTGCCGATTTTCCCATGAATATGCCTATTTCAACAATAAGATGGATGGATACGTCAGTTTCATTTAGTATTGCAGTGAATAACCACTGTGTAAGAGATGTATGTGGATAAGAACCATCAAATATTTTCTTAAAATGATTCGACCATGATTCATGCAAATTGGGCACATCAGATCCAAACAATAATACATGTAGTTGCTCATACGAAATTGACTGCAATGTTGATTTTTTTTAATCCAAGCGAAATCTTCGAGTATTGCAAAGTAATCTTGAAAAAATTTCCGTGGAGTTATTCGAGTGTCAAATCGATGATAATCATTCAGCTAACTGTTGTAACTAAGGATATCTCTAGCATATGGTGTATTGTATGCTCGTGCAAAGCTCATTATGTTACTATTTCGATGTAAAAATATAATAATCAAAAGCAATAGTAACATAAGCCATGTATAAATGATATAAAAGCATCGTTTTCTAACCATTTGAAGACAACATACTTACTTTTCAAACGATAATCGCGTACAACAATTTATAATAGTTTCAGTTTCTGCACACAAAACAAAATTCATGGAATTCTTCTGGATAAAACTACTTATTAATTCTTGACTTCTTTAAAATAAGATGTGCCGACCGATGAATCATGTTCATCAATGAATAGCTATCATAGAAAGACAGAATGTTAATGCAGAGATGGAAAAGTTTGATAAATTGCAACTATCTGATCTCAAATATTCTATTGCAGAAGTTATTTATTGTTTGAGAATAAAAATTCAACTGTCATGATACATACACATTATACTCATTTTCGATCCGTCGAATGAGCTGAATCAATACGAAACATTGTTTTGAATCAATATTCATTTATTTTTGTTTTTACTTAACTCTGTATCGATGATAATATTCTTGTCTTGCTCGAGTCATGAAAATAGTTTGTTGATAATTCAATTGAGTGCCGTTCATGGCTAGACGTTTTCAATGCTTCACTAAAATACTCGGGTAAGTCAATCGCTGAGAGATGCAATACGAAGAATTTTTCGAATATAGGATACCTAAAACATATTGAAGAACGAGTGAGGACATAGGAAATAATAAAGAAGAAACACGAGGCTGTGAGATTGAAATTGGAGTGTTTCGTCTGTGATCGTCAGAGCAGAGAATATTTATGTTGCCTCGAGAAAGTAAGTCAAAGAATGCGAGAAGAAAGGTGAGTAAGAAGAATGTATGTGCAGACTTAACATGGAAAAAGATTGCATTACTTCGAAGTAATCAAGAGTCCAGCCCGCTTGAAAAATAAGCAATATTATTTGTAATATCGTTCACATTATGGAAAGTCTTTCCAATAATAAATATTTGTATGGAACTCAACTATTTCTTTTATTATCGTCAAGTTTCTGTAATCTCATTCTGAGAATATCTGACGCTTTGAGACATCATTTACTGAAAATTGATATTCATCTATTATGTAATTGAACTAATAAACGACTTTTTTTTTATCATCACTAGATCATGATCGTACCACTTGGAAATTAGACTGTGAGTGCGAAGGAAAACGAATATAATAATTACTGACTTTATTGTGTTTAAAGTCTACTTATGAGAACGAGTTCATATATGGTTAATCACATAATTTAAGTGAGTACAACTCGTTTCATTATGTACGATTATATTCAAAGAATTGACGATTGGTTATTGTGCATTTTCAATCAAAAAAAAGTTTATCAAACTCATTCTAAGTTATTTTAGTTAATTAGAACGATAATTCAACGGATTTTGATCAATCATCTTTGATTTCGGTAAAATGTAATTCTAAGTTAATTAATTTCAATGACTTAGAATCAAACGTGCCCAGTTCGATGACACCAAGCCCCGAATACAATGAGATTTCACTGAAACCTGTCGGAAAGAATAGGAAGTTGTTCAGAAGTCGCAGAAAGAAATCCAACTACTTTCAATCTCTATCGATTTCCATTGTTTTCTTGCCGGAAATGATTCCTATTGTTTCATCTGGATAACTGAGTTTTAGCACTTCTGTTAGCATGAGATATCTACAAGAAAAATCACTTGCTCTTAAAAGAATTTACTTTTCTTGTTGCTTTAAAAGATTTGTCTAATGTGCTTTCATTTTCTCTCATTGAAACAAACTACTTTTTTTTCGACCGAGTCCAGAACAAATAATTCAAGGAGAAAAAAAACAAAGAAATAATTCTCATTATTATAAAATAGAGGATGTGGGTGTGGGTGTGAGTACTCTTCTTTTTTTACCCACACAGTTTTATGGATTATCGGCGAAAAGATCAGTTTTAATTGAGTATTGAGCGTGGAAATCAATTATAATTGACGACAAATTAAATGTTCAGTATTTTTTTGTAAATGTTCAGTAAAATTTGTTCAGTATTATATACAAATTTTCAGTAAAGAAATCAAACTATCAGTGTAAAATTTAATGTTCTGTAACTATTACGTTTGTTCAGTTAATTAATTGTTGGCTCAGTATCAAAATTAAAGTTTCAGTAATTAATTCAGTTTGCTGATTCAAAAATTCATTCACTCAGTAAAAAGTAGTATTTTTGTCAGTAATCACCTATTTCTTCGATGAAAATATTTTGATGTAAATAGAAGAACGTTTGTCCACATCGGCTGATGATGACGTCATCAGTCAAAAGATACTATGTTACATAGTTGCCCCTCGATAATCGTATACATATGTTGTTATACTTATCGATGTCATGTTTTCTTGACCTATTGTTTATATTTTACTATAGTTATTCTCGATTTAACAAAGGAGTAGAAGATTCTCGACGTCGTCTCTTTGTTTGCTCTTTTGCATATTCCTATATAAATAGCTCATTTTTTTTTGAATAAGCTGAATTTTGATTTACCAAAACTAATATTACTAATTTGATTTAAAAATGACAACGGTGGCGGAAATTGTTGAAGTACCAACTTATGTTTCTGACGATGAGGTGGATAAAAGTGAAACTGTAGATAATGGAAACAAGAAACGAGCAAAAAAGAGACAACGCAATTGGGTAGAAGAAATGGTGTTTAACAACACCGAAGAAGCTGAAGAAGTGGTGATCAAAGAAAATCAATGGAGTTATCATTATACAAATACAACAGCTGCAGGAAAAAAGAAATTTTTTAGATGTAATAAAGCCAAAGCTCGTGGTAAACAATGTGATGCTGGCATTTATTTATTATTTGAATCTACAAACGATAAAGTTGTTTTATTTCGTACCACATCAGACCATACTCATGATGACATACAAGAAAAACCTTCAAGAATACCAACTGAAGTAAAAAAAATTATACAAGATTTATTTGAATTAAAATTGAAACCGAAAGCAATAGTCGAAGTACTTCATGAACGTGGAATAGCACTACCAAGCATTCACCAATTAAATAATTTTTTAAGAACCATTAAAAGTACAAAACTAGGTCCAACTTCAATTAGTCTTGGTGAAATTGAACAATGGTGTCTAGAATCAAGTCAATCAATTCCAGAATCAGACGATACTCCTTTTGTTGCATCATATCAAATTATTTATGATGATGAAAATGAAAACGAAGATATTGATGATGATGATATTAATGAAAACAAGTTTCGATTTTTTATTACAACAAAAAGACTTCTACAAATTGCTTCGAGATCAAAAAAAATTCATGCTGACGCAACATATAAATTGTTGTGGCAAGGATTTCCAGTTCTCATTGTTGGTACAACTGATCTTGATCGACACTTTCATTTATTTGGCATGGCTGTTTGCTCCAATGAAGCAACACAGGATTTTAGATTTATATTTCGTGCTTTACAAGAAGGTTTACAAAAGTTGAATTTAGAAGAAATTAATCCAGATTTTTTAATCACTGATGGTGCTGATGCCATGCGTAATGCTTTTCAAGATGTTTTTGGAGAAAAACCAATGGTAATGTGTTGGGCGCATATGCGTAGAAAAGTGGTGAAAAAGATAGAATCAATGGTGGAGAAATCGAAACAAGAAGATTTGGTGAATGATATAGAATCATTACAATTAGCGCAAAATGAACGTATATTTATGAAAGCTTCAACTTTATTTGTTAAAAAATGGTCAAAAACAGAACTAAATTTCATAGAATATTTCCAAAACGAATGGCTAACAACACATAATGCATGGTATGAAGGAGTTGGCCATTTTACACCAAGTACGAATAATGCTTTAGAAGCCATAAACAATGTTATAAAAAAGGAAAATACACTTCGTGAACGTCTACCTGTATCAAGATTTAAAGTATTAGCATTTGAAATTGTTGAAAAATGGTCGAAATGTTATGAACGAGGTTTAAAACAATACAATTACAAGCAAACAATCTCATTGGAATTATGGACAAGTGGGTATCAATGGGTTAAATCAAACAAATCAATACTTTCGACTGAATGTGATAATTTAGTTCAATATTATATACCTGCTGGAAATGAAACAAAAATTACAAACGGCGAAATTGATGTAGTGAAGAAAATGAAATGGTACTCCTTTGATCAATATAAAAAGAAAGCATTCAATATTTGGTCTGTTACATTACCAGTAGATAAATTAAAATGGTTAGAGGGTGTGTGCAATTGTCCAGCATTTTTCAAAAAGTTTATGTGCAAACATGTTGTCGGAATGGCAATTAGATTAAACTACTGCAAACCACCACCTGCTGCTAAAAATATTAAAATTGGTGAAAAAAGACGTCGTGGTAGACCAGCAAAATCCAAAAAGGCGTTACTGATGCAATAAATTTCTGTTAATGATAATTACACTTTTTTACTGAAATACATTATTAAAAAACTGAGCAGAAATAAATTAAATACTGAACAAAAATAAATTAAATACTGAATCTTTTTAAATAAATTACTGAACTTCTTGAATTATTTACTGAGCGAAAAATAATTTTTTACTGAACGAGAAGTACTGAACATATGATAAAAAATTTACTGAACGTTGATAATAAAATACTGAACAATTAAATACAAGCCATTATAATTCACTAAATTCGTTCGTTTAATCCGAAGATGGCATATTTAATCGATTTTTTGCGATTTTTTTCGGACTAATCAATTTTAATCCGATTATTCATGCGTTTTTTTCACATGAGTTATTACCATTAGTTTTCATTTTTCTGCTGAATAATTATATGTATATATTTACCTATAGTAGTATGAAACAATTTTTCCTATAGAAGAAATCATTTTTTCATTTTTTGATCTCATTTTTCATACAGCAGTATTAGTATAAATTTTCATTTTTCTGGTGGATAAGTATGTGTATGAGCAAATAGTTATCTTGGAAGTTGTCTTGTAGATGTGAATCATTTTATATTATTCGATGGCATCTATCCTACGGATTTTCTAATTATCCGTAGGAATTTGATATTTGAAGGTTGAGGAGTTATTTTGGTAGTTCGAATTGTTTTATAATTTGTTCTTTTGTGACGTTATGAAGAGAAGCATTGTTGACTTGAACCTCAAAATTCCACTCCGAATTAACATTTTTGACAACGATCGGTTCGTTGGCCAACCCTCATAATCAAATGACAAATGAGGCAGATAAATAACATGACTCACATAGAATATTGCATATCACTAACGCAATTTCACTTCCTCTTTTTTCTTTACCTTATAATATCAGACATCTTGTTTTTAGTAGACATATTGTGAGTAAATAATCTACTGGGTAACATTCAAAGAACGTTATAATCATGATATTAAATTATAGTGTTGCAGAGTTATGTGAAAATAATTCAAATTTATTAACATCTATCAAAGCAATTATGTTAATGGATATATACAGGACAGGGAATTCTGATAAAACAACGGAATATGTGTATGGAATGATAATTAGCTCTGCAGTTTTATTAGCAATTTTCAATAATTTATTATCATTATACACATTTATATTATCGAAAAAAATTCGGATAACATCTTTAGGTATCTATTTAATTTTATACTGTATATTTGGTCTGGTAACCATGATTAGTATCGAAGTTGATTTAATTAATGTCTTATACTTAGATCATAGAACAACATCGACTTTTAATTTTTTTTCATGTAATTTTTTACCTGTTTTCATTGTTTGTATGTCAGCTGTATGCCTATGGTTAAGTGCTTGTGTAGCTATTGAACGTGTATTAATTGAATCCGACGTGCTACCATTGTTCGGTTCTCGGCAACATTCGTTTATAGTTTTCATATTTGTGTTTATCACTGTGAACGTATCTCACATCTATGAAATGCTGTATCATGACGTTATCACACATCCATTCTTCGAGAATATAAAATTATGTAAATTTACTCCATCATCGTCAATTAAAATACTCGATATTATCCTTGAAATGTTACATTTACTTGGTCCCTGTGTAGTTCATCTTCTTTGCACGCTGTGGGTATTATTTCGAATTACAAAACATAAAATAGATCTTCAATATGATATGGAAATAACATCAAGTGACAAATGGTCAATATGGAAACAACAAATACTTAATCACCGAGATTTTTTCATACCACCGCTACTCATTATTAGTTGTATATTGCCACATGTGATCACATTCCATCTATTAATAACATGTCCAAACTCATTGCTTAAAATGCGTCTGAATATTATACTTAATTTTCTCGTGCATATACCCGAAATATTCACATTCTTTATATATATTTATCCATCAAAATTATATTGGAAACAGTTTTCACATACAAGGATTGGACAATTATTACAATGTTACTGTTGTTTTGCAAAGTAGAAAACAGTAGACAGAAAAGTTAATATTTGGAATCAATGAATGATGAAAAATGAAAAGACGAATGACTAATTTCTAAAACACATAAAGTTTAACTTAACCCTTTCCAATTATACCAAATATAATTTGTTTCTCTTTTCCTTGTGGGCGGCTCAGGAGAAAAGTCGTACGCCATTGTAGAAATTCAAGCAGAACTTCTCATTAATTTTTTTACTTTTCAAGAAGAACTTGTCGCTTCTTATCGCTTTCCATCTCTGTCTAGATGGCGAAAATCAATTTATGATATACTTTTGCAGTTTTCTATTCAATTATCAAAGAAATATACATTCCAGAACCGATGTAGAAGCCAACCATGATTGAACAAACGTCTGCATCTTACTTTAAGCAAAAAAATTCATTTTGAAAGTACAATTCCTCCATTCAAATGATAATTTTCGCAGTTCAATATAGATTACTCACAGTCTACATTTGCATGTGATTTCAACCTGAATTTTACTAAAATTTCATGGAGATATTCGAATCGGTTGTTGAGTATTTTTTTACTTAAATTTTGTGTGCTTCTTGATTTTACTTGTTCTTTTTTGCGTAAAAGTTTTATTAAAGCAAAACTTTTTTTCGCAAATTTCGAGGCACGCAGAAGATTTGATGTGAACTACGGATTTTACCGTAGGTCATCGGATCCTGAACCGAATTGTTCGAGGATCCGCTGTCTTCGATAAAAACTGATAGGATTTGATTCATTTTGTGTCGAATTCTCATGTGCAGGATTCTGGTTGGATGTGGGTGTGGGTGGGTGGTGTGTGGATGAGTGTGGGTATGGGGTGTGGGTATGAGTGTGGGTGTGGGTGTCTTGAGGGTGGAGTGTGGTGGGTGTGGGTGCTTTGAGGGTGGAGTGTGGTGGGTGTGGGTGTCTTGAGGGTGGAGTGTG